TTAGTCCCTCATAAGCTCTTGTTACTTTAAAAACTAGTTTTATTCAAATAAGCATTTTCTAATAACGAATTCACGGTTAATTTACGATAATTCCAAAATTTTGAAATATTACTTGGCTTAGTTTTTTCAAACATTTATGCTGTCTCTTTTTCAGGCTTTAAAACTCAATTTAAACGGATACAATAACTTCATATCAAGTTTGATAAGGATCTATATTAGTTTGCATTTTTTACTTTTCAAAATTGTTTTAGAACAGCTTAAAAATATTCCTAACAAGAGATTTAAAATATATTCCAGTTCCAAACGTATTAATTGACAACACCTCATCTTCTTAGTTTATTAATTCTTATAATTTTTATCAAAAATGAATCTATTGTCTAATGTCTAATTAGACATTAGACTAGACAACTAACATACGCAACTTTGTTTTATAGATTTCCAAAGTATAAATTTACTAGACAATAAAAATAAAAGCCTTAAGTTGGACTTAAGACTTGCAGGAATCTAAATTACTAAATTAAAACTTCTAAGTGTAATTCGAGCCATCGAGTCTTGATGAAACAGTTATGATATACATAGATAAATACAGTAGTAATATTCGAAGTTCAACCGTGAACATTGAATTATTTCGGCAACACACTCATAATTTTTAGTTAACAACAGCGAATTATTAATACAGTTACAAAAATTAGTTTATAATAGTCAGGGAAAATTACTTTTTTTTACCATTAGATATTATTAAAAATTATATGAATTATTTTTATTTTACGATAATAAAGCGAAAGTAATTTTAAAACTTTTATTAAAATTATCACTATTATTGTTCTTTTCTTTGAATACGAAACTAATTATGAAAAATAAGATAAATAAAAAATATAATTACATAAAAATTAATTTTATCTTTGTCAACATTCTCCTACCTTAGTTAACTTTTAAAAAAAAGACTATTAAAAATTAAAATGAATTAACTATTGCCGAAAATTCTTTTCCTTGGATTACATCCCGTTTTTATATCCTTATAAAGTGTAGAGATTTATGATTTTCCGCCACCATCGTACAAAAACTTTTACCGTTTTAATTGTGCTTGAATTTTTTTTTTTGTTTCCTATTGTTCTTTTTTATTTACTTTTATGAATGGTATTTAAAATTTCAAATTCCTTTCAATATTGAGTGTGAAAAATTGAGTATAAAATTTCTAATAATTTTGATTTAGTAAGCTTTTAATTTAAGGTACTCTTTAAAATATTTGTTACTGCAAGAATAACTCATTTATAGTAAAAATTAAAACAATTCAGTCTATTGTGTGGACTAAATACGGAGTTGTTAATCTACTACTCAAAAACATTGTTTTTTCAATTTATACTCGTTAAGGTATTAATACTTTACCGTTAGCATAATATTGAAAAATATAGAAAAAAAACGATATATTTAGTTAATAACAATTATATAATAATATTCGGCCATTATCGTGTCGAATTTTCTTGGCTTTCTCGTAATTTTATATAAAAAAAATACCTATGTTTCGCCTCATTTAAATTTTTTGATTAATTTGTTTAAGAGTTTTCTTAAAAATATTCGCTGCTTCGCTAAAAAAAACCTTAACTAAGTTTGTTAACACACAAGAGATTTTAAACTACTTTTACAACTGTTTCACAAAAAACTTCACCTGCTAAAATTGTATTAAATTTTTTTTTGCCCAAAATGATATCGAAAACAAGAGGGCTCACATTTTCATCCTACACAATCTAAAATTAAATAAAGTGTATGAAGAATCCTAGATTTGCAGGTGACAAACACATTTTACTTTTAATTTAGAAATAAAACATAGAAACAAAATAAAAAAAAAATAAAAATAAATAATGAGTTACCCATTAACCCTCCTTTTTATATCATTAAACAGCCATCCATCAACATAATTTGATACACATTCACATTTCGTATTTAATTTAAAAATAAAATTTTATATATCCAATTTTCTTTTCCATTTTACATTTTTTGTTTCTCTTATAAAAGAAAATTTAATTTCTGTTATTTGTTGACTGATTCAAATGTATTATTGTATGTATATGTATGTATGTATATGTTCATATTTGTCTCTATATAATTTTATCTACATAATGTATTTACATAAATCTTTCTTAGTTCGAAATTTTTTTCAAAAATTTTGTATACTTGCAATACAATACGACACAACAAGAAAACTGTTTATACATACATATGTATAAATAGAATAAACAAAAGTCCCTGATAATTTTGTATTTTGTTGAAATTTTTTAATAATTTTTAAAAAATACAATCTGTAGAAAAATTGAGATCTAAGGACGTTCGAATTGCTTCGTTCTCTACCTAATAATTTATTATAATTTTTCGAAGAAATACTTGGATTTCTCCCTTTATACTCCACATGATTATACTAAAATTTTATTCGTGTTTAAGATTTCCAATAAACTTATTAAACCTTCGATCCGAAAGGTTTTAAACTCTTCTCCTTTAATTTTCCTAATGTTTCCTAACGATGATCAGATGTTTGGCTTATTACAGCGGACGCGGAGCTGCCACAGAATTTTATATTTTTTTTTTATTTTGTTATGTATGCAGATAATTTTTATATAAGTATGCACATATATATATATATATAAATATTTATAGATACGAGTATAATAAGATAGTTAGATATAATAATTACCTTTAATATTGCGAATTAAAAAAATAATTAAACAAAACAATTTGAGCTTTTAATATCCTCCCAAATACCATTGTGTGCATAGGTAGAAATTGATAAAGTATTATGAACATAACATTTATCAGAACAACTTTTTTTTTTTAACTCTTTCCCTTTTCAGTTATTAGCTCACAAAATTATTAAAACTCAGGTTTTGAACCTTTTTCTTCTAAATTTGCAATTTCTTGGAATTTTCTAAAAAGGACCTTTTTCTTCTAAATTTGCAATTTCTTGGAATTTGCAATTTCTTGGAATTTTCATTATTTCAATTATGACGATTTCGGAATTTGAAATGAAGGACACACTTCCATTATTTTCTGCTTGGCCTCGCAAATGTCAATGGATCATTTTTCAAACGTAAACGTAGCAAACGACGACGGAAATATTGCAAATATTGGCTTATTTTCGACTGCATTTATACTATCATTCCAAAAGAAGTTCAGAGTTGGTGAGGAAAGAGTTGATCTTGCAAAAAATTGTCGATGTAGATGCATAATTTGTGTATTGTGTAATTGAAGATCGTGTTTAATTTACATGCATACATACAAAATAAAAGTTAATGTATCGATTCAAGTTAAAATCACCTTCTTGATTTTCTTTTCAATTTTACAAATTGGACATTACGAGTACTATGACAATGCTTACAGTTGTTTTTTGTCATTATGTTTCATTCTTCTAACATATTACAAGGAACGCCTGGGATTTATGGAATCTCATATCAACATATTAACATACTTATAACAGTAAAACGTCCCAAAAGTTCAAGTAAAAAATTATGAACGCACATATTTATACTATTACTTGCAGACGTATTCAAATTTTATTAAATTTTCATTCGCTGGTATCCACTTCAATTCTTCATTTACAAGAATGAAATTTTTAATGTTTATGATGACGATGATGATGATGACACTATGTCAATTTTTTAATTCAAAAATTGCTCTATTACTATTCGGTCCACTTATACTTCGCAATTTAATTTTGTAATTAATAACTTATACAGACATATGAACATATGCATACACATGTATTACACAATAATACATGTGTGCATGAATAATATTTGTGCTTATATAATAATATATGTATACATACTCATAATATTATTATAATGTATATTATACATAAATAAATATGTGAATGTTTGTATGTATATGACATTATTCAATTATAAAAACGAAAAATGAATGAACCGTTAAGTCTTTTAAAAGTGTTTTTATGTCATGAGGTTTGTATTTTAGCAAATCGTTCAAGCTTATTTCCAAAAAATACAATGCTTTTTATATACATTTAGTATGGATATATGTGTATATGCTTTAAAATTATACGATTTTAATGTCATAACTGTTGGGAAGAAACAAGTGTAGTATATACAGTGTATTAATTAACTTGTGGTGAAAGTTTACAAAAATATTCCACAATAAAAGTAAAGGAACCTTGAAGAAAATTTGCCTCCAATTTTATAGTCCTTTGATCAATTCTGATTAAAGTAAGATTGTAAAATCACACTTTTCCCCGTGACAAATGAATACGTTTTTTTACTCGTAGGAACGCATGTCTGAAGGGTATACTAAATTTCCCTTACCGTTTGTAACGCGTACTGATTCGGGTAGCTGCCATACAACTTCAAGAGTAGTTTCTCCATATCTTAGAAAATATTGAAAACACAGTACTGAAATTTTGCATAAAGTAATATGGTAGTACGACAAATAGTAAATTTAAAAAGGGTAAAGGGTAAAGCGGCTATTCATAGCAATATTTGACAATTGACTACTTCGTTAAAATAAATTGTCATAAATTTGAATTTTTAGTAATTTCACGACCTATCGAAATCGGGAGAGGCAGGTGAAAATTTTCTGATTGAAAAAAAATTTACAAGTTTTTATCTTAAAAGGTGTTTTGTAAACACACGAACGGATGGACAAATGGATGGACGGAGAGAACAAAACTATCCAGCATTTGTTTTCGAATTTTATTAGGCCCTTGCTTTTTTATGCAGGTTTTATATAAAAAATTAATTGAAAAAAGATAAACATACTTAAATTGAAATCAGTCGCAACAACATAAATATTTTGTTGTTCATTTTACAAATATCCATACTATTTCTTTTTACGAGAAAATAAAAATTACTAATTATTTTTTTTTTAATTTTACTTTAATTTCTAAATTTACAGAATAGTATTTAGAAAAAATTCTATGTAAATTATATAATTTCAATGTAATCTGTATACTAAATATAGATGTAGTATACATTTATTTTATACACGTATGATCAGAACAGAGGATTAGTGTTAAATGTTAATAACATTTTCATTCTTGATTATTACTAAACTGTTCAAACTAACTTCAAGAATATTACGAAAATGCTCAAACATTTTGAAAGCATCAATGCTGACACCACATAGCTTTCAAATCGTATCCCAATGTTTGACCTAATGACAATGGCGTTTCGCCACAATTATTTGCAATTTCGATGTCAGCATAATTTTCTAAAAGTAATTTCATTATGTCTTCGTATTGATTCTTAACTGCAACAAATAACGCTGTTTCTTTTAATATTGTTACTGTGTCAACGTTAGCACCATTTTCAAGTAAAATTTTAACAATTTTTAAATGGCCATTTTCAGAAGCAACAAACAGCGGCGTTTTGCCTTCATAGTTTGCCGAATCAACTTTTGAGCCTTTTTCCAAAAAAAATTTAACTATTTCAGCGTAACCATGTCGAGCTGCTATAAACAATGGTGTTTCTTCATAATTGTTCGGTAAGATACTAGCATTTTTAGCAAATAAAAATTTTACAATTTCAAAATGACCTTTTTCAGTTGCTATGAAAATTGGCGTGAAAGAATCCACATTAGGTAAATTTATATCGTTCAAACATTTAAGGGTTAAATACTCTACAATGGGCAAAAATCCATTTTTACATGCGACAAATAAAGCAGTTTCTTCGCTTCTAGTTTTTTCACTTAGGGCAGCTTTTTTTTCAACTAACAATTTCACAATATCAAAATGGCCACTTCCAGCTGCCATTATTAAAGGAGTCTCGTTATTAAAATTTGTCTCATCGACATTTACTTTTTGTTTCAATAATAATTTTGTTATTTCACATAAACCAAATTTTGCAGCTATTAAAAGTGGCGTTACCCCAAAATAGTCTTGAATATTAACATCGGCTCCGTAATTTATCAAAAGCTTAGCTACGTCGTAATAGCCATTAAATAGAACTTCTAAAAGAAGAAAAAAATTTGATTTTTTATTCTGATTTATAATTTGTGAGCCACGTTTTAAAAGTATTTTGGCAATATCATAATATCCACGAAAAGCAGCAACATGAAGAGCATTTTCACCAGTCCATGTTTTTTTATTGACATCAACATGTTTATCAAGCAATAGTTTAACTATTTTGAAGTGCCCATGAAAAGCTGCTAAATAAAGGGGTGTTTCACCATTTTTATTTTGCAAATTCAAATTTGCACCATTTTGTCTGAACTTGAAAACATAATTAAAAGCTCCTTGTCGACATGCTTCAAACAAAGGTGTCTCGCCATTGCTGTCTTCCATTTTAATGTCTGCTCCATATGCTAATAAAGTTTTTACAATTGATTTATGATCGTACTTAATTGCTAAAGAGAGTGGGTTTTCATTTGAATTATTTGGAGGTATTCCTGCTTCTAAAAGCATTTTAGTAACGTCTAATCTGCCATCTTTCACTGCAACTAAAAGAGCACTTTCACCAGGCTTATCAAGATCAATATGCACATCTTGGCCTAAAAACATTTTCAAAGCCATCAAATGGCCCCCCTTTGCAGCAGCAAAGAAAGCTATTCGAAGTTTTGTTTTATGTATATCAGCATGATGATCTACTAATAACTCAACTATTCTTTTGTAATTATTCGAATTCCTATTTAGAAATGGATGATTTTCGGTTTTAATGATGCGTCTTAATGATCCTTCATAGTTCACATTGTTTGAACAACAAAATCCATATAAAAATTTTCCATAATAAATTTTGATGTCTTCGGCCGAAAATTTTTCTAATTTATTTACGTCTAAGTCAGAATTTCTTTTTATTATTAGCCGACGATTTTCTGTTCCATGCAGTAAAGCTACTAAAAGTGGTGTTTCATCAAATATATTTGAACGATTTAGTTCTGGTGTCATTTGAAGCAGTAATGCAACAATTTCTGGATGACCATATTCAGTAGCTATGAATATAGCATTTTCTTTGAATTTGTTTAACAAACATATACTAGCGCCTTTACCAATTAAATATTTAACAATATTTGTATATCCTTCTCTAATTGCCAACATAAGAGCGGAATCACCATTATTGTTTTGTAAATTTATTTCCGCCTTTGCATTCACTAAATATTCAACTATATCAAAATGACCGTATTTAGCAGCAATGTGCAAAGAATTCTCTAGACTATTGTTTTGTGCATTTATATCAAATTTACCATGACGTAAAAGCAATCTTATAATATGTGAATGTCCAAATTCAGTTGCTACACATAAAACTGTGTTTCCGAACTTATCTCGAATTGAATCTAATTTAACATCTTGTAATAGAATTTCAACAATATTAAAATGTCCATAAATAGTTGCAATAAGTAATGCTTTTTCTTGCGCTTCGATGAATTCATTGCGTTGAAAATCATTTTCCTGATTTAATAAAAATTGCAAAAGCTCTGAGTTCCCGTATCTAGACGCTAATAAAAAACAGCTTATAACATTGAAATCTCTAGCATTATTTATTTTTCGAACTTCTTCCTCTGAACAAAACTCCTTAAGAACTCTGTTAATAAGCCATGGTCCTTCTTTAGAAAACTTGACTTTAGGAATTTCAACTTTCATATTAGTATCTATAAATGCTCTTGGCAATAATTCATATTTTGAAATACAACTCTCACGTAAAAATTTCGCTATATCATCATTTCCTTTTTTCAAAGCAATATATATAGGTGATCTACCCCATACATCTCTACAATCTATGTTCACATTATTTTCTGTTAAATATGAAGCCATTTTTATATCATTATAGGTGGTCACATAATGTAAAATGGAGGTCTCATGCTCATCAATTTGAAGTTCATTTATGCAACGTGATCGCATTTCATCAGTTAAATGACTCAAAAAAAATTCGACTATTGCAAAATTACCCTCTTGTGTTGATAATTCAGTTATTTTGGTAATTAAAGAATAGTATTCCTCCTACAAAAAAAAAATTAAACCAAAAATATTATTTTTTTATTCGTGCAATTTAAATACGAAATTTGTAAATTTGATGAGGGTTCCATAAATATTATTAACTTTGTACTTTTACTTTAAATTAGCTATAACAGTTCTATTACCTATTGGCTTCTGTCTTCAGATATAATAAATATATAATTCTAAAATGCTTAATAAGGCAGAGTTAAATGTTTTTTCATAGTTTTCTTCGCACAACTTGAACAGTTTTTATTGAAAATTTCCACATCAATTGAATCCATATTGAGTTCACATAACTAAAACTTAAATTTCATGAATGAAATGCTTCTTAAGCTAGCTTGTTCTGCCATTTTTGATTATTATTCGGGACACAGTATGAAACTATTTTTAGGTAAGAGTAACAATAATACGAAATTTTTAACTGAGCAGAATCTGCAGGATGTAGAAATTTTCAGTAACAATACAAGTCAAATAAATGAATATGATATTTAACAATATGTTTTGGCTCATTTTCTACAATAAAAAAATCAAATTAATATTATTTACCTTTTTAAGTCTTCTGTAAATTTTAATAACTAATAAACTTAAGTTATTCTTTTCCAGTGAATCCTTTTTTAACCATTCATTGAAAAACATTCTAAGATTAATATTTTTAAATTCAACAAAAATATTTGTGATGAAATATTTGCTTATTAAAATATCTCGACTATTTTCTAAAGATTTAATGAAATATTTTAAAAGGAAGTACTCAGCTAATGATAAGTCCAAGAAAATTGGTTGATTAAGAAGAACTTTTGCTATTATATTGTAATTGTATTCATTATATGTGAAATTTCTTATAATATTTGTACCACGATTTTTTCCAAACAATTCATTTAATTTCATATTTCGCATATCTCTTTCATTAAGTAACAACAAAACAGCCAACATTTCATGATTTTTCTCAAATTTCAAATATAATTCATCAACAATTGTATCGTTAGATGATTCTAATGGTAAAGATTTAATTTGAAATTTTTTTGTAAATAAAGTTTTACAAAAAATACCGTATAATTCAAAAATATTGAAATCATCCTCTAAATTTTTATATTTAATATAATTCTCATGATCAATTGTATAAATCGAACAATACATATATATTATAAATGAGAGACCAATATTCAAAATGGCTTCTTTTGTAGAGATTTTTGATAGTGTTTTAAAAAAATTCTCTTCAAATTTCTCATAGTTTTGTTTTTTATTTTCTAATGAAAAAAGTTTTCCTATTGAAACCTTCCAAAATTCTGATAACATTAATTTTTGTTGTTCATTCTCAAATCTTTTCAACAAATAAACTATATTAGAACCAATGTTTCCAATTAATTTTTCAACTGTTATTGGTCTTCCTGTTATTATAATGTTTGTATTCTCGAAGAAACGTAAAATTTGTCTTATTAGAAAATAAAAATCAATATCATAGCATCCAATATTGTCGATGTCATGAAAAATTATAAAAATTCGATTATTTTCTAAATGATGTCTCAAAATTTGTTCATTAAATTCATAAAATGTACCAGTTAATTCATTTTTACACAAATTAATAATAATTTCAATTAAATCATGTTTCAATATAAATCTCATATTCATTTCATTAAATTTTCTTAATTTTTTTAATTCAATTATTGATTTTGGATTGCTCAAATCAACACGAAATATCCACTTATAACGCCCTTCATCGCGACAATAAATTCGAAAATATTTTAATAAATTTGTTAAAAGTACTGATTTTCCACATTTTGTTGAACCACTTATAATTGCAATATTCTCTTCATTATTATTTATTTCGGTAAAAAAATTTCTTTCAGCTATAATTTTTCCATTTGGTGTAATCAATTTTCTCGGTAGAGAAAAATTCTCCTCATCATTACTTGAAGTCTCCCCTATACATAAGATATCAACATTTTCCATTAAATGAACTAAAATTTTTGACGTAATGTATTTTTCACATAATGCTAAATCTTCTTTATACGGAAATAATGAATTTAATGGGATTTCATTCCCTTGAAAATTAACAATTCTATTCAGAATTACTTGACGTGACTCATAGTCCAAATATTTGTATTCGATGTTATCGTTTATTATTTTGAAATTTGTTTCATATTTATGTTTTGAAATTATTAACAATTTGCTATGACTGGTCATAACATTTGTCAAATCATTTGCTTTTGAATCTTCAGTATCAATTTTACTGTCCATTAATAAAATTGTAATTATATCACGAGTTTTTAAGTAATTTTTAATGAAAGATTGCAATTTTATTATTTTTAAATCTTTGTAAGGTAAACAAATGACATTTTGATTTAATTTGAATTTCTCAGCTATACAATTCCATATTTTATATTTTGTGATACTTGAATATTGTGTTATAATTGTAACACCCTTTTTTTTGCTCTTAAAGAAAGTTTTCAAATTTTCAATGAAAGGATCTGTTGTAAACTTTATACCGTCATAATTTAAATTTAAAAACTCTTTTGAAAATAGTTCCTTCATTTTAATTTCGTAAAGCATTTCTTTCTCACTTGTGCTATCACGATTTTTATTGTCTTGCATTTTGACTCGTTATAATTATAATATTGATGCCAATAAGTTCTATTTTGTATTAATTAATTAAAAATTGTTATTTAATTATTTGAAGTATAAATGATATTTGCAGTACCCATTTCAAAATAACACTGATTTGCTTATTTAAAATTTATAAAAATGATTCAGGAATTGTAAAATATTGTCGAAGTGAAAATAATATATTCAATTCAATGTTGTATGTATGCAAATTTTAACCACTAAGTTTTCATTTTTAGATTTGAATTGAAAATTTAAATGCATAAAGTGTACTGAACAACGCTTGGTTTCCTTAAGAATGAAAATTGTAACTGAACAACTGTAAATTAAATTCTATTTAAGCAAGGTCGATATTATAGTAAACTTAAATTAACATTGTATAATGTAAAACATTTCGCAACAAATGATATCCAATTTAAACTGTATTTAAATTAACTATTTTGATAAAATAGGAAGCATGTGTATACGTATGTATGCAACTTTGTATTTTTATAATCGCAAACTTCTGTGGGAAAATACAAAATGATAGTTTAATAAAAAAAAAACAAAATTAAAAGTACGATAAACAAAAAAGCTTTCTTTTCTTTTTGCGGAAGAACAATAATGTTGAGGTGTTACAAAAAGGGCTAAATAAATTATATACTGTTTCACATCGTTTAAGACGAAGTTTTATTCAAAGTTAATAATATATACATACATTAGTCATTCAATAATAATTAAACTTACGGTATTAACACAAGGTATAGAATAAATATTCGTATGTGCAAAAGAGGAACCTCTGTTACAAAAACCTTTGTTACTGGATTCTCCCTTTTTATGAATTTTCCTATTGCCGTCTCTTTCCTCTCTAGCTCATTAATTTGTGAGTTACTAGAAATATTGGGCAATTTAGAAAAGATTTGAAGGCTTCCTTCCGTAAATAATATTTTCATTGGCTATCTTGGGTTAAAGAAATATTTTTTCACGAAATCTTAATGGTTAACTTGTGAGCTTTGTATGAAAATTTTTTTACATAATTTTTACCGACCGTATTGTGTAAACAATAGGTAGGTGATGTGATGGCAACAAATTTTGCATATCGAGTTTTCGGTGGGATTGCACTTCCCCATAGTAGGGAAGTGTAAATAAACTATTTTTAGCAACCTGTCGGTCTGTCGGTCTGTCGGTCTGTGTGTGCACGCGTGTATCTCAAGTTCGGCTGAACCGATTTTGATGAAATTTTATATGTAAGTTTATTTCCATATTGGCACGGATTGATCAACTTTTTAAATATATCAGGCCTTGGGAACTGCACTTTTTAGTGGGCGTGTTTTACATTTTTGAATATTTTGAAGTAAATATTCAACCGATTTACTTGAAATTTCATATATAAGCTCAGCGCGACCGTCCGCAAACCTCCTAACTTTTGGAAAAAATCAGGTGTCAGCAACTAGACGTTTACTACGGGCCAAATATACATTTTTGTGTATATAAAGAGAAATAACCAACCGATTTCATTGAAATTTAATATTTAAATTCTTCGTATTAAAACAATGAACATATAAATTTTTTGGAAAGCCCAGAGCTCGAAAACTGATCTGCGGGCCGATTTTACATTTTTCACCATATCTACGGAACGAATTGATGGAATTTTTTGAGATTTGATATTTGAGTTCTGGTTGTTACCGAAACTAACTGGCGAGCATTTCAGTGAATTCAGGTAGCACAGAGCAAAACTCTACTAAGAGCCAAATTTATATTTTTCTAGGTATGTTAACTATAAGCTTACTAATGTCCTAAAAATTGAAAAGAAGTATTTAACAGACATTTTTATAATATTCTATAACAGTTTCACTTAACTGGACAATACACATTGCCGTCGGTTATGTGGTGACCAAATCAGATTTTTGTTTTAATTTTCAATTTTAATTTTTTTTTTTTGTTTTTCATACATTCACAAGTATTTTTGAGCATTTCAGATAAAGCTTTTAATTACTTCTGTAATGTTTATTTGAGAAAATTCATTTTTATGATATTACACTGTTCATTAATTGCTATAATTGAATTTGTTTAATTATAATGTTAATTTATGAATTAAATGATCCTATTAATTTCATAATCAAAGAATGTCTTGTTTTAAATTTAGATATGTGCAATAATTTGCCATATATAAACTTTCACAAATTTAAAGGGCTATAACTTAGAGGTGAGGCAAAATACGAATAAATTTTATTTTAAAGAAATTATGCGCTTACTAGAATCTATTAATACACAAAATTTAATTGTTCTTTCTCCACCGAGTTAAAAATTTGGTTGACAGACAAAAACAAGACAGGCGAACGAACAAAAATACAATTTTTCTTTTTTAAATATACTGTAAGCGTGTATTACGATTTAACCACAAATAAATGAAATAATGAGCTTTTTGAAGAGTTTGAATTTTAATCAAATAATATGTACCTGACCTATAACTAGTTTTATGTCAGAAACTTTACATAATTACACAAACATAAGTAAAATAAATATTTACATAACGTAAATCATTTGTTGGAATATATTACGCTTATGTTTACTTTTATTCTATATTGGACGTTTTTCCAATCTTATGACATGTGCTGAAAATTTATGTTATTCTACAGGTTCTAAAATTAGAAAGTTTAATGTATTGGTTTACAAAAAGTTTATTCTACGTTTTGCAATTTTTGTGGTTCCTTTACGTAGATAAAATGAGAAATCCAAAAGTCATAACAAGCGTTACTGCTAATAAATAACTTTTATTAATATTAATATTCATATTAATACAATCATACGAAATGGAAAATGTTCATATCTACATACATATAAAATTGTGTATACAATAATTTAATTTTAAGCCTTTTGATTACGACAAATTTAATTTGTGTTTTGTTTATTAAAAACGAAACCGCATCTACTCTTTCATAAGCAGTTCAACAATGAATTTCAAATTTTGATTTAATCCCAGGTGGGGAGAGTGTGAAGGGGCTGTGTGGGAAAAATTTTTTAAATAAATTATTATTATATCTGAAATAACATTGAAAAACGATCTCAAAAATTTGAAAAACAACGATTTTAAGATAGCGGTAAAATTCAGCAGTCATTTTGTAGTTCTAATGTTTGACTATATGTATTTTCTTAACAAGTGTGTAGTTTTTGACGTTTGGAGAATACAAATTATGGTTGAGGTTTTGTCACAACAAATTGCCAATTTATGGCATTTTTAGGATTTTGATTTTTGATGGTCTAAGTCTAAACTGTTAGTGTGGGGAGAGAGGTAAAAATTTCTTGAAAAGATCTATTTGCATAAAAAAACCTAATGTGGTCAGCAAAAAACCGACCGCAATGTGTATTGTCTAGTTAATTGAAAGTGTTACAGAATATTATAAAAATGCCTGTTAAATATTTCTTTCCAATTTTTAGGGAATTAGTAAGCTTTTAGGTAACATACCTAGAAAATTGCAAATTTGGCTCTTAGTAAAGTTTCGCTTTGTGCTACCCGAATTCCCTAAATGCTCGCCAGTAAGTTTAAAGTCGACCCTCAAATCAGTTTCCGAGCCCTCATCTTTCCAAAAAATTTATATGTTTATTGTTTTAGTACGAAGAATTTAAATACTAAATTTCAAGGAAATCGATTGATTTTGATATTTGGCCTGTAGTAATCCCCCAGTTGCTGACACCTGATTTCTTTCAAAAGTTAAGAGGTTCCGCGTACCGAGGTCTGATATATCCCAAAAGTTGATCAATCTGTGCCATAGTAGAAATAAACTTACATATAAAATTTCATCAAAATCGGTTCAGCCGAACTTGAGATACACACGTGCACACACAAACCGACAGGTTGCTGAAAATAGTTTACTTACACTTTCCTACCATCGAGAAGTGCGTTTCATCCATCCGTCCGTCCGTGGACATGTTTAAAAAACCTCAATACCCTCGAAGATAGAATGCTGAAATATACATAGAATGCTGATAGAATTATGTGTATAGAATATGTATACAGGTTTTTACTGGAAACTTATTTTTGTTGATGAAAATTTTCACCATCAGAAACATCAAAACAGAGTTTGCGGATTTTTTTCCATTACTCAAGTTTTTGATGGCTTAATTGAATATAAAACGTATAAAAACCTTTTACGATCCAGGAGATATAGCAGAAAACCGTTTGGACTTCAAGATTATAAAGGTTTTTTTAAAAACTACAAACTAAAACAATTCTCACTATTTCTGCTTTTTATTAATTTTAAATGCCTTAATTATCAACTAGTTATTTAATTGCAATTCTGAAATGTAATTGACATTTTTAGGAACCTTTATTTCGATTATATTAACGAGTAATCGACTAACATTTTTCTTTTTGAACTTTTATGAACTTTTTGTGCTGATCTTTCAGCATATGTGCATTATATTAAAATTCATTGTTAATCCTATAAACAAATATGGAAATAGTTGGGCTTAATTTCACGTGTTACCAATTTTCATTTTTTTGGAAGTGAAATCCTCAAGACTGATAATGCCGCAATTATTCTCGAAGGTAAATAAGTAAGTTTTATAAAAAAAACTTCTTGAAATTTTACAAAGCAGTCTATTTACCGCCTATTGAAATACAAATGGTATAAAAAGTGATTAGTTTTATATTAGCA